AAGAACATAAGATTACCGGGGGCTAGAAGCTAGTAAAATCATCTAAGTATGTAATATGAAAAACCCAAAAGGTACCAGAATTTGAGGGAAAGCAAAAGGATTAAGATAGAGGAACCTGACAAGTTGGGTCTAAATACAAGCTAACAGATTCCATGATGTGAATCTGACTTGAAGCAAAACGTGTTCCCTGACAAATCCCAGAGGCTACGGGCCCTGGTTTCAGGAGATGGTCACCCTGAGGCAACAATGAAGTTAGGTGAATCCTTACACTTACCTGGGAAGTGGACAATTGCTAACCTTCACTGAACACTGAGCACAGGCCAGGCACAGGTCCCAGCATTTATAACATATTTTCTCATTTAATCCAACAATTCCTCTAAGGTAAGCATTAATAATACTATCACTCCCATTTTACATTCAGGTAAGTAAACAGAAGCCCACTTGCCTCAGGTTACACAATCAAAGTGAAACAAACTACAGTTTAATTTCGGCCAATGTACCAAGCCTCCTACTGCTGTCGTTTAATATTATAGGGGAAAATTTGTGTTTCATTGGAAAATGATGCATTTTCAAACGAGTACACCCTTCCAATTCTGGGTTTAGGAGGACTTTGCACCTTTCCTTGCCTTTGAGCTATTTTACAACTTTGTAAGCTGTAGAAAGCTGACAGGAATGTGGAATAATTCTTGTCTCCAGACACGTACATAATTTCTGTCCAGTGGAGGTTCAGTTGCCTTCCTTAGGTCACTGGGAAAGAAGCCAGTTTTGTCTCCATTTGCACATTCTTCTCAATATTCCTTCTCTGTAAATGTTTCTCTTCTTTGGATTGTCCTCTGAACTAATTGTAACATCCTATGTTTCCCTCCTTAACAATGTGCTAAATAAAATCTTTACTCACTTTATGCTTATGTATGAGAGTCATGGGTTTACCATAAAAAAATTATCCTTGAACAATATTTATCGAACCCGATTATTTTAGTATCTAACCTGTCCTATCTTTTTTTTTTTTTTTTAAGATTTTATTTTAAAATAATCTCTACACCCAACACGGGGGCTCAAACTCATAACCCAGAGATCAAGAGTCACATGCTCTATGGACTAAGCCAGCCAAGCACCCCTACTTTGGTTTTTAAGTATCTTCACTTTTTTTAGACACCAAATGTAACACTTCAAATCCTCACTATAAATATATAAACAATAAGATATATAAAACAATGCAAGTAATTGTAAACAATGAAAAAATACATACAGGAAACATCTAAAGTTCCTATAACCCCAGCTCCTCATGGAAAATTGCTATGGGCAAGTTTGGTGCATAGTTGAGTATTTTTCAGTGCTTGCACTATGATATTTCTGTGTAAAATGTTTTTCTATATATAATTATTAACAACGACAACAACAAATGCCATTTTCGTGATGTTCTACAACCTGCTTTTTTTCTGACTGACTGAATGAATGTCCATGTCGATCTGCATCTCCGTAGAACAGCTTCACAATAGACCATGGTATTAATTTTTTTCAATTAATCCCTTACTAGTGGAATTTTAATTGCTTTCTTATTCTCTATTAAAAACAGTGCTACAGTGAACATCCTGCTCCATCCATCTTGATGCTTTCTCTTTTTATAAATTAACTACCTCCATAAGCTCTATTAATATTGTCAAGCATGTAATTTATAATTCCTCAAGTTACTGCTTCAGTGTCTAGTTAGTTTGGCTATATTCAAGCAAGTTTTCTCCAATTCTGTGTACATTGGTTTCCTGGTGCTGTGGGTCCTTGGGCAATGCTGATGGAGAACCACTGCTAAATGTGATATAAATAGTGCTAAGATGGTAAACATGGTTTCAATAGGCAAGTTCATTTCACATGGAAAACACAAAATTTTTCAAAGCCTAGACTAACCAGGAATTAAAATTAAATTAATTAAAATGAATTTATTAAAATTCTTTTTAAACATTGTGAAATGAATGCCATTTATTAGAGCATACTAATAAAATTCTAGGAGAAGTATGGCTTGGATTTATTATCATTACTATAATATTTCAGTTATGGGTGTTTTTATCATAGGAAATGTTTTTCTGTGTTAAGACAAGCCAGGGTTTTGTATATATATACCATTTTAACGAATGCATTGTTCTAGATACTGTATTCAACAAATATTAAATGAGCTCATATTTATATACACAGCATCCAGAACAGGCTTGAACACGTTAGCTACCATATGTGTTGGCTTTTTGAGATGGCGTATATTGTAATGGTTAAGGGTGTGACTCTCAAGCTACACCTGAGTTCACATTTTGGCAGCATCACTTAATGGCTTTGTGCTCTTGGGCAAAAGTCCACTTAATTTTCTGTTTCTCAATCTCTAATCTATATATAACAAAAGGATAATGATAGTAAATCTCTTAAATCCTTCTTTAAGAATTTAAAGAGTAAATATATGTAAAGTGCTTTGAACAATGCATTTCTTATTGAGTCCTTGCTATGCTATGCCCTGGGGAAGTAAATTAGGCAAGACAAAAACCCTTGTCCTCAAGTCGGTTACTACAGTTTGAGTCTAAAGACAGATGAAAATAGTTGTTTGGATTTACAGTTTGATGTAACTGAGTAGACTAATCACAGGGTACAGTGAGAACATGTGGGGTGAGCCCTGGTTTTGAAGAGTATAAGTTTCCTAGAGGCAGAAATGGCTAACACTTGAAGAACAGGGAGGCGAGAGGAAGAGATTTTTAGATGGGCATAGCAAAGTCAATCTCTTTTAGGTACATTGGGGAACCGCAAGCAGTTTGGTAGGGCTGAGTCATAGAGTAGTGTGTGGGGGATAAGGAGACATGATGCTAAATTGATGGGTAGAGGCTAGATGAGAGAAACAGTTGGCTGCCATGCAAATGAGTTTAGACTTTATCCTGAGGCCAGAGGGTAAGACATCCAAAAGGTTTTATATATGCAAATGACATGATTGGATAAGAGTACTAAAAATAATAAATTTGATAAAAGGGGTAATGGGGTGATACCTTTGGATATTTAAAAGGTAGAATGGACAGAATTTGCTAGTAAAATACCTTTGGATATTACATAATAAATTTGATAAAAGGGGTAATGGGGTGATACCTTTGGATATTTAAAAGGTAGAATGGACAGAATTTGCTAGTAAAATACCTTTGGATATTTAAAAGGTAGAATGGACAGAATTTGCTAGTACTAAACATAATAAATTTGATAAAAGGGGTAATGGGGTGATACCTTTGGGTATTTAAAAGGTAGAATGGACAGAATTTGCTAGTAAAATACCTTTGGATATTTAAAAGGTAGAATGGACAGAATTTGCTAGTACTAAACATAATAAATTTGATAAAAGGGGTAATGGGGTGATACCTTTGGATATTTAAAAGGTAGAATGGACACAATTTGCTGGCTGCCTCCCTTATGGAGGCAGTGTAGCACACGGTTAAGGGTGTGGCCTTCCTGACCAGACTGATGGGCCACACATCTAAACTTTTCCATTTATTGTGTGACCTTAGACAAGCCACTTCAATGCTCTGAACTCCAGGCTCTATAAGATTGGCTAATTGTCACCTAACTACATGTTTCTTTTATCAGAGAAATTAAATGACATAATGAATACAATGTGTTAGTATTAGATCAGTAAATATATACAGTAACTGAATAGTACTCAAAATTTAAAAAAAAAAAGCAATATAGTTAAGTGGTCAGGCTCTAGTCAGACTCAGGTTTAAATCCCTACTCTGCCATTTACTAGCTGTGTGGCCTTGAGAAAGTTACTTAACCTTCCTGTGCCTCAGTTTTAGTATTTGTAAGATACCGAAAATAATAGTGCCTCTCATAGTGTTTGGTAAGGAAGACATGAGATAATTCAGGTAAAGTGCCAGCACATTAATTCATTTAAACAAATATTTATTGAGTGTATGTACCAGGCACTATTCTAGGCCCTGAGGATAGATAGACACAGTAGTAAATAAAACCAATCAAAACAAAACAAAACCTGCCCTCAGGGAGCTTAACTATATTAAACATCCTGCACATAGGAGTGTTATATATGTTAGAAAGCATCATCCTAAGACAATTTCTGTGGTCCTAATCTAAATTGTTTCTATAAGTTTTATTGTAATAAAAGAGTAACATTCCACAAATATTTATAGAAGTAATAGGAGGACATAAAGGCACAGTCCAAGATAACTCAGACATTGGAAAGACGCCAGAGATTGGGAAGGGGAAACACCAATTTGAGGAAAGATCTGCTGATAAAGTTATGAATGCATTACCACCCTCTTTTGTCCAGGAAAAGCTATGAGAATGTGCCAACACCTGCCTGAAATCTTCCTAAGAAGGGGTGATTATAGCCTATTTGCTTAAACCACGGTAAAACATTTGACGAACGACTTGGAAGAAAATAAACATTAGTACCCTCCTTATAAGATAAGGTATGCAAACACCAAAGAGATTCTATTAGTTCAAATGCCTTGACTGTCAACAGAATCTCCGAGGGTTTGAACCTTTGAACAAAGACCTGATTAAGCATGGTGCAGCGTAGCGAGGCCTTGATCCTCCGTTGCTAAGGCAACCAACTCGCCGCCAGCCCCGAAGAGACGGAACCTGAAACCTCAGTGACCCGGGAGGGTGGACACCTTCCTTCTGTTTGTGTACCTGCGTATGTGTTACGGATGGGAATAGGCAGGGCATACAATTGTCAATACGTCGCCTCTGTTCTCGGTAGAGGGCGCTACAAAAGCAAGTTCCCCCAGAAACAGCAACACTTCTTTCGCGCCTCACCACCACAAAGGCGCCCACGACTTCGTTTCCCAGTTTACTTAATTCTGGCCGGAAAAGCCCCGCCCTCCCGGGGGTGAAAACAGCCCCTCCTCCCAATAGCTTCTCGCGATCGTTGGACGGACCGAGCTATTGGCAACTTCCGGTCGCGACCCCTTCAGCTCTTCGGCGATTGGCCCATTTCCACGGTCTGCGCTTAACTTCCTGTTCGCATCCCGGCGTTGCACGTGTGAAGCGGCCTAAGGCCGCCGCTGTGAGCCGGGCATTGTCGCCGTTCGTGTGGTAGCGAGTCACTTCTCCGGGACGAGGGGAGTGCAGCTGCCGGCCTTCTCTGGGGTGAGCGCCGCACGGCTGCAACATGGTGAGCAGGTCTCGTTGTCTCGGGGACGGGGCGCTCTGGTTTTGCTGACGGCCAGGCTGGTTCCTCTGGTGCCAGTGGCTACTGAGGGCGAGGATTGGGAGGGCTGGTCTGGAGGTGCCGGGAGGAGGCTTGCGGCCCTGTGCCCCGGTATGATCACCCTCGCCACTCTGGGCATACTTTGCAGTTTAGAGTGCGTCTCCCACAGCCAAGCCTCCGTAGGGAGTGGACAGAGGAGAATGGGTTCCTCTATCCCTTGGGGCCTAGAAACCTGTGAACGCAGGACACAAACGCTCAACCCTGTGCTTCATGCATTCGGAGGAGGGGGAGTTGGCTGGTTTCTCCAGACGTTGGAGTGGCAGTTGTCTGCTCGTCTGTGTTTGCTCTGGGCAAAGGGAACTTGTGGGAGAGTCTAAGGTTGGGCCCAAAAGCAAAATGGCTTAAAAACTGGGATGATGTTTTCTCAGTTTAGCGAGTCAAGTTGGGTAGGGTAGTGAGAGTGTTAAAAGAGATGATGGATCTTACTTAACTGTAGCTGTGTTGTCCTGGTTTCATTCAATAGTTGTGCGATAGGTGTGTAACTTGATTGAAATGGTCTTCCCCAGATTTACCTGTGGCAGCTTGTTTGTCATTCTGATTCAACCTGTCAGGGACCTTCTCTGAGCCCGCAGTCTAAAGTAACTTTCGGTCATTTCCACATCACTTTTCTTTACTTAAAATCATTTTTTTGGTGATTTGCTTCGTAAGCATAGGGACTCTGACCTCATTGCTGTATCCCAGCACCCATAAGAAGGTTTGGCACAGAGTAAGTGCCATCAAATATACATTGAAGGAAGGTAAGTGCGGATTTTGTTGAACATTGTTGACGTTACCTACCATAGAAATGTAAGTTTTAGAAATCTGTTGATCCCTCACGTAACTTACTGAAGATTCGTATATGGACTGTGGGTGTGTGTTTTTGTTTGTTTTTTTTAATGGCTTGTTCTGATTCTGTTCCTTTGAAGCCTCACAGGAAGAAAAAGCCTTTTATAGAGAAGAAGAAAGCTGTGTCTTTTCACCTGGTCCATCGGAGTCAACGAGATCCTTTAGCAGCAGATGAGACTGCACCCCAGAGGGTTCTGTTACCCACCCAGAAAGTAGGTCCTGTTCGTTAGTAAGTTTGCAGGTGGACTGTCAGTAGTTTCTGAATAAATTGTTAGCTGCTGTTCTGCAACTACTGTGATCTTTTGGGAAACAAAATCTATGACTTAAGTTTACAGTATATGTGCCGGTTTTTTGTCTTGCATATTGGATTGAGAGGGTAAAGCATCTTTTTTGGAGATCTTTAAATGAGCAAATCTTGTACAGTAATAGTAAATATTTACTAAAACAGTTACAATGCTGCATGGTATTATTTAGGGCATATTTCTGCTTTCTTAAGATCCTGTCATTTCAAAACCACAAACGACTGTTTTGTCCCTCATCATTCATCTCATAAGATGTAAAACATTAGAACTCATGAATTAGCTTCAGAAAATGCCAGGAAGCCTTTAAAAGGTTGATTTGATAATTGTCAAGAGTATAAGTGTGGGCAAATTTGAAAGGAATTCTTGGGGAACATTGGCATATTTAGCTTTTTAGTAAAGCCTGTTTGTGTTGTATGTTGAGAAGTTTCTTTGCATATAAATACAAGAAATTGTACTTGATTTTCAAGGCCCTTTAGTCTGTTAACCCTCCCAAGTACATGATAAAACAGTGTGTGTGTTTCTTGGCTTGAATTTTTTTTTTTAATTGAAGTGTAGCTAGATATACAATGTTACATTGGTTTCAGGTATACAGTATAGTGATTTGACAAGTGTATACACTGTGCCCACCACAAGTGTAGTTATTGTCTGTCACTATACAATACTATTATAGTACCATTAGGTATATTCCCTCTGCTGTACCTTTTATTTCCATGACTTATTCATTACGTAAGTGGAAGCCTGTATCTTCTACTCCCCTCCACCCATTTTGCCCATCCCTAACCCCACCCCCACCGCTGCCCCCCTTCTGACAGCTATCAGTTTTGTTTTCTGTATTTATGGATCTGTTCTTTTTTTATTTTAAGATTTTATTTATTTGAGAGAGAGCGCGCGCACAAGCCAGAGGGAGAGGGAGAAGCAGACTCCCTGCTTGGGCAGGGTGCCTGACGCAAAGCTCGATCCCAGGACCCTGGGATCATAACCTGAGCTGAAGGCAGACGCTTAACCAACTGAGCCACCCAGGCACCCCTATGGATCTGTTTCTGCTTGTTTTTTTTCTTTTTTTTAGATTCCACATACAAGTGAAATCATACGGTATTTGTTGTTCTCTGACTTACTTCACTGAGCATAATACCCTCTAGGTCCTCCATGTCTCAGATGGCAAGATCTCATTCTTTTTTTTATGACTGAGTAATATTTGTGTGTGTATGTATACACACTACATCTTCTTTATCCATTCATCTGTTAGTGGACACCTGGGTTGCTTTCATATCTTGGCTGTTGTAAATAATGCTGCAGTAAACATAGGAGTCTATATGTTTTTTCAATCTGTTTTCATTTTCTTTGGGTAGATAGTAGTGGAATTACTGGATTGTATACTATTCCTATTTTTAATTTTTTGAGGAACCTCATTCTGTTTTCCACAGTGACGTGACCAATTTATATTCCCAGCAACAGTGCACAGGTGTTCCTTTTTTTCCACATCCTCACCGACACTTACTTCTTGTCTCCCTATCTTGTCTTGAATTGTTGCACGGAAATGTCTAGTAGAAGCAGGAATTGTTTCCATTCTATTTAAATTTTATGTAGCACTTGGGTTCAGAAACTTTTTTTTTTTTTTGAGTTTGTCAAGAATTCTTTATCTCATTCCTGTCAGCTAAAATGTTCATGTGCCATCTGCGTCCTATTCTGAAAGCTGTGTTCACTGGAAGGTTCCTATGGCTTATGCTTGGCAGAGGTACTAATTAACATTTTGTTTATTATCCTAGATAAATGATGAAGAGAGGCGAGCAGAACAGAGGAAGTATGGCGTGTTCTTTGATGATGACTATGACTATCTGCAGCACCTGAAGGAACCATCTGGGCCCTCAGAGCTTATTCCCATAAGTACTTTCAGTGCACCCGACAGAAGAGATGAAAAAGAGGAAACTTTAGTAATTTCAGTAAGACTTCTTATCAATATATTTGGGAGTGAGTGAAGAAACCACTTACAAATCAAGATAAGTGAGGCAAGAAATGGTATCAATTTCAAGAACACAAAAATAGGGCGCCTGGGTGGCTCAGTTGGTTAAGCGACTGCCTTTGGCTCAGGTCATGATCCTGGAGTCCTGGGATCGAGTCCCGCATTGGGCTCCCTGCTCAGCGGGGAGTCTGCTTCTTCCTCTGAGCTTCCCCCCTCTCATGTTCTCTCTATCTCATTCTCTCTCTCAAATAAATAAATAAAATCTTTTAAAAAAATTTTTTAATAAAAAAAAAAACCATGCCCTAGTGTGTGCACGTATGTAGCATCATTAGAGAATAGGCTGCCTGTTATGTGGTGGCAGCTGTCAAAAGTAGGTGCCTTTGGGTGTCTGGGTGGTGCAGTCAGTTAAGCATCCGACTCTTGATTTTGGGGTCGTGTTCTCAGGATTATGAAATCAAGCCTCAACTCAGGCTCTGCGCTGAGTGCAGAACCTGCTTAGGACTCTCTCTCCCTCTCTCACTCCTCCCTGCTCACATGCATGTGTGCACTCTCTCCCTTTCTCTCTCAAATCTTTAAAAAAAAGCAACCTTTGACAGGGTTAGAATTTTGATTAATAATTGTGGTCATGTTAGCACCTTTCAGCAGAAGAAAAACAGCTGACATTGTGTATGTTAACAGCTAATCAATATCATAAAGTATCTTCTAAGAACTTAATTTTTGCAGAATGTTCAGGTCTTTAACAGTCGTAAAAAGCTGCAGGTTAACCATGAAAGAATAGAAGCAGTAGACTGTAATGAAGTTCCTGTGACTTGTCTCAACTAAAATGCAGTCCACTTTAATATTTTCTTTCAAGTACAAATGAGAGCACATATTTATATGAAACTAACACTAAGTTCTGTTTTTCTCCCATTAATGTTAAAGATGTCCATGTCTTATGCCTTTATCTTTTTATTTAGTGTTAGTATACAGTAAATTTTTCTATGAAACTTTGTATTATTTGGCACTAAAAAAAAAGATATTTATTGGGTTTATTAACAAAAAAGAAGAGCTAAAAAGGGTACTAATTTCTCCCGCTTCTCATTCTCCACTCCTCTCATGGTCTAGGCATTCTTTTTCTCAGGGAAGTGTAATCATAGCTTCTCCAGTCTATAGTTTGTTGCTTACGGGAGGTCAAAAGGGTTAGGCTTCAGGGTATTATCCCAAAGGAAGGTAATGAACGCAGCTGTTCCCTCACTTCCTAGGTTGTAGCTCTCTTGTAAGGCTGCATACCCCACTCCTACATCTCTGTCATAACAACCAGCTTCTGTACTCTTCTTTCCCAAGGTGACAGTATCAGGAGTAGGGTATAGATCTTAGTGGCTCACCTCCTTCCAAGACACAGGGAGGGGAGAGTGTCCAGTAGTTGTTCAAGTTTATCTTAGGGAGAAAAGTCTTTTTCTTTTTTTAAGATTATTTAGTTTTCAGCGAGAGAGGGAACACAAGCAAGGGGAGTGGGAAAGGGAGAAGCAGGCTTCCCACTGAGCAGGGAGCCTGATGTGGGGCTTGATCCCAGGACCCTGGGATCATGACCTGAGCCGAAGGCAGACGCTTAACAACTGAGCCACCCAGGCGCCCCGGGATAAAAGTCTTAATATTAAGTTCTAAGAGTCTTCTGGCTGAATTGTATTGGCTTTTGAAAGATTAGCTTTTAATCCTTAATTCATTTTTGGTAAAAGTAATCACTATTTAGTTGGCTTTTTAATAGAATAAGGCTCTTTTTTATTGTTCTGTTAATCGCAAGACATTACATCATTAGTTTTTGATGTAGTGTTCCATTAGAATAAGGCTCTTAAATGGACACTTTGGTGATGTTTATAAGGTTGAGTGAATTATGTTTGAAAACAAAAATGCCATCTGTTTTCTGTAGCATGATGAAAAAATATGGATGAGTCCCCTGTGCTTTTTTGACTTTAAAGTAATTTGTAGGGGCACCTGGGTGGCTCAGTCGTTAAGCGTCTGCCTTCGGCTCAAGTCATGATCCCAGGGTCTTGGGATCAAGCCCTGCATCGGGCTCCCTGCTCTTCGGGAGCCTGCTTCATTCTCTCCCACTTCCCCTGCTTGTGTTCTCTCTCTGGCTGTCTCTCTCTCTGTCAAATAAATAAATAAAATCTTTAAAAAATAAATAAATCAATAAAATAATTTGTAACAAACCACCCAAATTGAGTAAACCAGAAATATTGAATAAACCCTAGAAACAAAATAAAGCAGTACAGAGGTAGTTCTGTTTAAGCAGCCCAATTGTCACATGAAAGAAAGCAGGTACTGCTGTGGTAGAAAGCAGCTGGGCAAACTCAGAGTTCAGAACTACTGCAAATAAAAGACACACTTTTTTTAACTATAATTGTGTACGTAATTTTTTTTTTTTTTTTTTAATTTATTTGGGAGAGAGAATGAGAGAACACGAGAGGGGGAGGGTCAGAGGGAGAAGCATCAGGGAGTCCGATGTGAGACTCAATCCCAGGACTCCAGGATCATGACCGGAGCCAAAGGCAGTTGCTCAACCAACTGAGCCACCCAGGTGCCCCTGTGTACGTGATTCTTTGACTATTTTTCAAGACTTGAAAAAGATCTCCAAAGGTAAATTCACTAAACACAAGCTGATCCTCCCTTTTTTTATAACCCCACATTCCAAAGATAGATAATCACAGAGTATCTTTAAAACAAAGCAAAACAGTGGGGCACCTGGGTGGCTCAGTCGGTTAAGTGTCTGACTCTTGATTTCGACTCAGGTCATGATCTCTCAGGGTTGTGAGATAGAGCCCCACATCGGGCTCCGAGCTGAGTTTGGAACCTGCTTGGGATTTTCTCTCTCCCTGCTCTCCCCTCCATGCTCATGCATGCGTGCTCTCTCTTTCTCTCTTAAAAAACAAAACCAGCAAAACCAAATCACATATTTTATAATTTTTAAAAAGTAATAATGTGATATACCAAAAATCATTAAATTGTGCACGTTAAGTGGCTGAATTGTATGGTTAATTCTAAGTAAAGCTCTTTTTTAAAAAGACATCATAGTGGAAAACCAGATCTTTCCTATGCTTATGCCACCGAGAAACACACTTTGGAAGCTAAGTTTGCTGGATGTGCACTCCTGTACGTAGCTTTTTAGTCATGCTCCTCAGAGGTTTCCAATTCCGCATGCTCCCATGAGCCAGTAAGAACATACATCTCAGCTTTGTGCCTGCTGCTAGACTGAGGATGAGGTGGGTGGTGAGGTACAAGAGACAGATGACATGTGGTGACCCTCACATTGGTAACTGGTTGAAAAGGTCACACTAAAGCATAAGGACCAGTCAGTCAGATAATAATGTGCCAGCACATTTTGAGGTGTATTGTGTATGGTGTGAAGAATGAAGGCGTTTACCCGAAGGAAAGTTCTAGAAGAGTGATCAAGAAGGGCTTCATGGAGGAGGGAGGAACTGAGCTGGGCACTCAAGGGTGGGTTGTATTGAAGACAGGAAGGAAACATTCCAGTCAGAAGGGACATAGGTAGTAGTGTGGATCATAGTGTCTGGCATATGTGTGCTCCATAAATTACTTTGAATTATTCCATGATGTGAGGAACTGGATGTGATTTACATGGAGGTTATATTATTAAGTAATAAATTTGGATATATGGAATAGTAAGTAAGCCTTGATTTTACAGACTGAAAATCAGGAGTGAAAAAACCTGTTACAAGTTCCAAGAAGGTCCCATTATAAAATAATAAAGGAGTTTTAATCTGGAAGTGATACGAAGGTTGGATTAGGTGTGGACTATCTAAACAGTGGTGGTAGTAATCTGTGTGTTGGTTAGCCATGAGTAAGATGGTGCCCAAAAGACTGATGTGCAATCTTGGTATACAAGAGAGTTCAAGGGCTACAGAGATGGAGAGAAATGATTTATGACCACCCCAGGATTTAAGATGGCCAGTTCAGAGAAATGCTGTGCCATTACCAGAGATTGGCGTGTTATCTCATTTTAAGAGGGAAAAGATTAAATTTTGAAACTTGAGGCATTACAAAACTTGGATTTGAATCCCGGGACCTCAGTTGCCAATTTGAGGCAGGCATGGCATTTGACCTTTCTTAGCTTTTGTTGACTACCGCATGCTGATACCTCACAAGGATTAAATGGAATAATACGCTGGAGGAGGCTTTGTGAAATATTCCAGGGAAACCGCTTGTGAGAGGATGATGGGATATATAGGTTTCAAATATTTTACTGGAGTACAAGTGAGCGAGAAGGCAGGACTTAGTTGTATTCGTTTTCCTAGGACTTCTGTGACAAATTACCACACCTTACCACTGGGTGGCTTAAAACAACAGAAATTTATTCTCTCACAGCTCTGGAGGCCAGAAGTCTGAAAGTAAGCTTTCAGCAATGTTGCTTCCATTGTGGGGGCTCAGGGCAAGAACATTGTCCCTCACCTATCTCCTTGTTTTCGGTGGTTGCCAGCAATCCTTTGTGTTCCTTGTCTTGTAGATCCATTTTTCCAGTCTGCTCTTATCTTCACATGGCATTCTCCCCCTGTGTATCTTTGTGTCATCATGTGGCCTTGTTACAGGGACGCACCTATCTTTATGAATTAGGGCCCTCTGTAATCCACTGTCACCTCATTTTAACTAATTACATATGCAAGGATCCTGTTCCCAAATAAGGTCACACTCTGAGCTGCTGGGTGGACATGAATTTTGCGGGGGACACTTCAACCCAGTATAGTAGGTCAGAAGTACTTCTTAATCTAACATTGTGTAATTTCTCTTTCAAGACCACGGGAATTAAGTTGCCGTCATCAGTATTTGCATCAGAGTTTGAGGAAGATGTTGGATTGTTGAATAAAGCAGCTCCTGTTTCAGGTGTGCTTGATTTCTTGAACTTTTCAAGTGACTTGATCTGTGTTTAACAAAAAGGAAAGCATAGTAATGATAAAGCTTTTCTCTTTCTAATAAAGTGTTAAAACAGTTGAGATGTCTGAATTCAGATTAGAGGTCATTAGGAAGGGATGAGTGATGGGGTCCTTTTTTTATTGCCATCAAATTCTTAGTCTTTGGAGTTTCTGTTTGCAGAGGAAAGTGGGAAAATTGGCTTTGAAGATCTAGTAGGGGAATTTTAACCTTGACCTAAACTCTTGCAGAGGAAACGATGATATTCACTTAGCCTTAACATACATGTAGACTTAATCTACTTTCAGAATTTCTTCCAAGAGTGTAAGTATTTTATAGAAGTCCATTTTAACATCTTTTCCAGATATACTGAAAAATTGTTTCGGGTTTTTGCTATTTGGATTTTTTGCAGTATTAATATTGTATTTTAGAACAAACACAGAAGTGATGTTTGGTATTTTCTCTTGAATTGCCTTAATTATTAACCAGTATTTGCCACGTAACATTCATTCATTTATTCCTTCTGTAGATTTTTGAGTTGCCACTATATGATGGGGTCTTGGGTTAAATCAGATTAAGCATAATCCCTGACCTCAAGGAATTTATCATCAGTTGGGAAGGATAGACAATAAATAGGAAATTACAATTACATTACGAATGAATAAATAATGGTTTAGTTAATAGTGGGCAAGGTGTCCTGGAGAAAATGGTGTCTAAGTTGATTTCTTAGGTAGAAGTTAGGTAGGTGGGTAAAGGAGGGTGGGGTGGGGAGGAGAGGCTATTTCAAACAGGAAACTATTTGCAAAATTGAGAAAACATGAATAGGAAACCACATTTTAGCATGCCTAGAATGAATGGTAAGAATTAACATGAAATGAGTCTGGAGAGTCAAGCAGTGGCCATGTTATGAGGGATGTTGGAAGCCATGTCAGTTTACAAGGTTGAACTTGAAGTTTTTTGTGGACACTATTTTTACACGCAAAAGACCATAGCTGAAGAAACAGGTTTAGGATTTATTAAAATCTCCCAGGCTGGAAAGACAGTTCACCAGGCTACACATGCTTAATTTGAGTTACTTCTAACAGGTAAATTTAAAGCCCAGATTTTCCTGCAGGTGAAAACCTTGAATTTTATTAGACACAGTTTAATATCTCAGATCTATAATGCAAGAGTTTTTACAATTGGATACTGAAACCAGAGGTGTTTTTCCCTCTATTTTGTTTTCCTGCAGTCATCCCTGTCTGTTCCTCACTAGACCAAACTTGAAGTTTTTAATCATTTTTTAATTCTCAATACATAAGTAGAATGTGGTATATGATAGCTACTCAGATTATGTTAAGTAAAGGAATCATGTTTTCTTGGGAATTACTGGTCAATTTTTGTTTTCCTGCTAGGACCTCGGCTGGATTTTGATCCTGACATTGTCGCGGCTCTTGATGATGATTTTGACTTTGATAATCCAGACAATCTGCTTGAAGATGATTTTATTCTTCAGGCCAATAAGCCAACAGAAGAAGAGGGAACGGATATACGGTATGTGTGGTTTCTTTCGAATCAGGGATGACGTGACTATTGCTTCTTCAGTAGGATGTACCTATAGAATGTTATAACTGGAACAGACCTTTGAGAGCATTTAGTGTTAGACTTTTGTATTTTAGAGCAGAAAATGTGAAACTTGAGGTCTTTACAAACCAACAATAGGTGGGGCTAAAGTCCAAGTTGCCTGATTGCTGGTTCATTACTTTTCCAGCCGTACCAGACAGGTCAAGCAGCACAGCTGTTACTGCCTAAACAGGAATCCTCCCTGAAATACCCTCAAATTTTACTTGTGTAAAGTCATTTGGTTCTGTTGTTTCTCAAGTTGTTTTGACAGTTAATTTATGACTCTGACTTAGGAAATCTGAGGCCGAAGATGACAGTGAGTGGGAAGACATGGATGATGAGAAGGAAGGAGGTAGTGATGACGATAACTATGGCTCTGCGGGCTCATCAGATGAGGCCATGTCTGTCCCTGGAAAACCTCTTGGGACTGTAGAAAATCACTTATTCTGGGAAGAGGAGACGAAAAGTCGCTTTACTGAATATTCTATAACATCTTCAGTTATGAGGAGAAATGAGCAGCTGACTCTTCATGATGAGAGATTTGAGAAGGTAAGGTCCCCAAATAGGGGCCTTTTAATACTAGTTCCTGGTAAATTTCGTATGACCTTAGAACTCAAAGCCAGAACTTTTGGCATTAGAAAGAGCTTATGTCTTATTAAAACAGACCATAAAACCATCCTAACTTTAGTTCTGGAAAGAATGCATATAGGTCAGGGATGGCTAATGCAATCTCTGGACTTTCCTCAGAGAAGTTTGACATTTTGATTCTGAACCTTTGACTCCAGTCCCCAAGATTATGCTTTTTTCCTCAAGCATTGGTCTGAGCATAAACAAAATTCCATTGCTTTCAGTTTTTTACATGTGTTTCCTCACTGACATATCCTAAGGTCTAACATGGTGTCTGGCATATGATAGGAATTCAAACTATTCAGTAAATTCATTCAGTGAATGAATGAATGAATGGTTTCCTTCAAGGTGAATTTAAAAGGTTCTAACTTTGCTACCTTTTCACTAAGTACTAGTAGGCAAACTGTTAGAAATAACTTCACTCTTCAGGAGTCACACATCCCCTGTTTACCCTTAACAGCATTCTAGTAATACAGTAAACATCATTTAAACAAGAATGAAATTTGTACTTATTTTTATTTATTTTTTATTTTTTTAAGTAGGCTCCATGCCCAATGTGGGGCTTGAACTCAACCACCCTGAGATCAAGATTTGCATGTCCTAACTACTGAGCCAGGCAGGCACCCCTGAAATATGTACATTTAAAGGAGACTGTTCAGTTATATGGTCTTTTACTTTGCATAATTAGTGAATTTGAAAGCATCTGTAAAATATTCTGAGGTAAAGATTTCTACCTAGCTTTGCTTTCCAAGCTGAGCAGAACAATTGTCTTTCATTTTCCTATTAAATGACAGCCTATTTTTGGGGTGCCTGGGTGGCTCAGTTGCTTAAGTGTCTGACTCTTGATTTCAACTCAGTTACCATCCCAGGGTTGTGGGCTCAAGCCCCACGTCCTTTGCGCTCAGCAGGGAGTCTGCTTGAGATTCTCTCTCTCCCTCTCTCCCTCACCCTGCTTGCGCTTTTTCTTTAAAATAAATAAATTTTTTGGGGGGTGCCTGGGTGGCTCAGTTGGTTAAGCGACTGCCTTCCGCTCAGGTCCTGATCCCGGGATCCTGGGATCGAGTCCCGCATCGGGCTCCCTGCTTGGCAGGAGGCCTGCTTCTCCCTCTGCCACTCGCCCTGCTTGTGTTACCTCCCTCTCTCGTGCCCTCTCTCTGTCGATTAAATAAATAAATAAAACCTTTAAAAATAAGTAATTTTTTTTTTTTTTTAAATGGCAGCCTGTTTTCAGGCTAAGTAAGTTTTAAAGTACTGGGTAGAATGTCTTCCACATTCTGTTGTCATGGTGCTAATCCCTGCTAATATTATAATGGTATTTATGATCTCAATGGTAGTGCTTAAATATTGTGTAGGATTAAAAATAATGTAAAAAATCAGGGTGCCTGGCTGGCTCAGTTGATGGAGCATGTGACTTGATCTTGTGGTTGGAAATTTGAGTCCCACTTTGGGTGTAGAGATCATTTAAAAAAATAAAATCTTAAAAAAAATATTAATGTAAAAATAACATTTTAAATGTTATAGTCTTAATACATTATTTTTCATGGCATCTTTTCTTTCTGTATTCAAGTTTTATGAGCAATATGATGATGATGAAATTGGAGCTCTGGATAATGCTGAATTGGAAGGTTCCATTCAAGTAGACAGCAATCGCTTAGAGGAAGTCTTGAATGACTACTACAAAGAGAAGGCAGAGAAGTACGATGACTTTTCCTTGCTTACTTGCTTTTTTGCATTTTTAAATAAAGTCTGTATTTGGACATCTGAATCTAGAAAATTACCCAGTCAGAACCTATATTAAGAAAATGGTATGTCTCGGGACGCCTGGGTGGCTCAGTCTGTTAGGTGGCTGCCTTCGGTTCAGGGAGTCCCCCATCAGCAAGTCCTCCTTGCTCAGCGGGGAGCCTGCTTCTCCCTCTGCCTGCTCTGCCTGCCACTTGCCCTGCTTGTGCTCTCTTTGCTATCTGACAAATAAATAATCTTTAAAAAAGAAAAAAAAATGGTATGTTTTTCCATAAACTTTGACTCACATTTTGATATTAAGGTTCTGAAGCTGTCTGTAACATTGAGTGGGAACCTACTGAGAACCACTTCCTCTATGGCTCTGACCTAAGAGTCATGATGGAAGAGCTAGGGTTAGAGCTGGGGGTGCGAGGTCATGTTCCACTTGGAAAATGAGGTGGTGCTTTTAGCCTCTTTGGCTGAAAAGTTAGTCCGACCCCTCATTTTCATCTTTTTAAAATGCCAGGTATTCTGAGAAGTTGGTATTTATGGCTCATAGAAAGATAAGAGTCTGTCTCTCCAGCCATATTAGCATAACTTTACAGCCAAATATTTGACAAATCAGCTCAGCATCCATATTGAGGTGATTTTTCTGCAAGAAACTAATGAGGGGTTTACATTTGCTGGAAGGGTCTGGTATTCCATGATCACCATCATTTGCAGATCCTACTAAGACAAGGGCTATGCATTTTGAGTGGATATATGACTACTTTGGAGAGACAGATGGGGTAATGCTTTCTGAGGCTTTGAAAAAAAACCATGTTTTAGGAAAGTTGCTATCTTGTTCAGTGTGTTATAACCCTGCAAAAATCCCTTCTCTGTCAGCAGAATGAATGTCCAAAACCTGCTAGAGGGGAGAGTTGGGGCTGGGGGAGCTAGGGTTTTTGTAAAATGCTGTTGTTTCCATAGCTCTTCAAGTGCAGTTTTAGTAACAGTATAATAATCGGTGTTTTTTTTCCCCCTCTTCTGTCTTCATTTTTGAAAACTCAACCACAAGTTGTGTAAAACTGAATACTCTTGAACCCTTCGAGGATCAGGACTTGCTAATGAATGAACTTGATGGGTCTGAGGAGGAAGAGGTTATTACTGTAGTTCTTGAAGAAGCCAAAGAGAAGTGGGATTGTGAATCTATTTGTAGTAAGTATTGTAGTGTTCATTTTACTGCTAAAGGTATGATAGTAATTTTAAAGTATTGAGTACATCAATTTGAAAAAGTACATGTTTTGTGAAAATGATTTGGAAAAAGTAATATTCCCATTACTAAGTTGCAAACAATTTAAATTTAGAATTTAAAAACATTTAGAAGAGAGACCATTGTTATTTTGAACTATGAAAACATCAAAGTTGGGGATATAGTAGGAACTCAGTAATGTTTTGCTGAATTGAAAGTGTACTTATTGGTACATGTTTGTTTGTTTTTTTAAAGGTACATACTCAAATTTATATAACCATCCACAACTTATCAAGTATCAACCAAAGGTAAGTCCTGGGGTCCTGAGCTATTTGAAGTATGCAGTGCAGAAAATGGAATGTACAGATTATTTTCTCACAGTGGCTGTATCCCTTTGTGGCTGGCAGCACTATTAGGAAAAGCAACAACAGTGTGTCATTAGTGAACTGTTTTTTAATAGGAATGGGAAATGACCTTAGTATGATTTCTTTATTTCAGCCCAAACAAATCCAAATATCTTCTAAAACAGGAATGCCTCTCAATGTCTTACCTAAGAAAGGACTCACAGCAAAACAAGTTGAACGAATGCAGATGATTAATGGCAGTGATTTGCCAAAGGTGTCAACCCAACCTCGATCTAAAAATGAAAGCAAAGAAGATAAAAGAGCAAGAAAACAAGCTATAAAAGAGGAGCGCAAGGTAATGGGAGATGTACAAAGAGCTTGTGGTGGGGGGATGGTCGTGGAAATTTTCTTCTGTAAAATTAGTCTTCATCAATTAAAAATTTGAGTAACCTGAATGTATTCTTACACAGGAACGGAGAGTGGAGAAGAAAGCTAACAAATTAGCCTTCAAACTGGAGAAAAGAAGGCAGGAAAAGGAGCTCTTAAACTTGAAGAAGAACGTTGAGGGGCTAAAGCTATGACAGTAGAACATTTAGGATAAGGTGCCTTCCCCACTGCGGCTCCTCGTTATGTTCAGTATTGAACAGGGACCTGCAGAGAGACAAAACTATTTAATCTGCCATTTTTACTGCCATCTGTCTTGTAAATATTGTAACATTTTAAAAGTTAATATTATAAGCTTAGAATTTGCTCTGAAATAAATGATTTCACAAATGTGAAATGTTTGGATGAGTTGAAGGAAAATATCTTCATAACATAAATGGAATTGGTGTATTCTTCCTTTATTTGTATGATTGTCCCAGCTGTCCTTTGCAGATGTTCTCAAATATGTCTTTGAAACCTTTCCATTCCTTTTCAGGAGTTAAGTGGTTTAATTTGCTGTATGTAGAAAAGTGACCCCATTAAACTCCATTTGAAATGCTAAGTGGTTAAGAGTTTTCCTGAGAAGATTCCACTGGTAGGAACTAATTTTCCCCCTGCTGTATGCAAAGGGCTGTTTCAAAAGGATGGTAAAAATGAATATTTATTAGGATTGTTGGGACTCAATTACTGGATGACTTACTTTTGGAATTTCAGAAGAGTGAAGACAGGAAGCAGAAGCAGAAATCAAGAAAACGTCCTTGGCCTCAGTGAGTACCTGGCTCAAAATCAGAAATACTTACTTCAGTTTAAACTAACAAGTTTGTCTTTTCAACATTATTTAATGCTTGGAACCATTCATATTTGATTAAAAGATGTAGTTAAAAATTTTCCTTGTTTTTTGGTGAGGTTTGTTTGGTGTTTGTTTTTTTTCCTGTAAACTTTTTCAAGGCTCAAGCAATGACACCATCACAATTGTTAATTATTTGGTAACTGTGACTCCCTTGCAACAGACGAGTTGTTAATGACCCTTGTTCATGTGTCCATGACTAATGTGTTGCTATCTGGACTGTTCTGGGGGGGAGAAAAAACAAAAACTGTGGACACTGTTGGTCTGAGTTGGGAACAGAATGGCAGAGGCAGAACCATTTTTAGCTGGTGAGCTGCATTTGATAACTAAACTATTAGAATGTGTCTTCTATAATTCATTAGAATATGGCTTTTCCAAAGTTGGTGGGTGTTACCTTGTTTGTTTTAAATTGTAAATCTTAGTATTCTAGGAATTTTGGGAGCTATGAAAAACAGTAGCTTTAGGTATTCAGCCAACATTGCTACAAAAAACTCAGCTGAAGAGCTTGTCATTATAGAAGTGGAATCTAACTGGGGAGTATATATTTTAATGCTGATTTGCAGAAGCCAAGGGTCAGATGATGGTTTATGTTAGTATTGTGAATATATTAAATCCTAAGAAGATTGACCATTTATTTCGGTAGCTATCTCAATTGAAGGTTCTTAAAACCAGTGAGAATCTTAAAGACTTGGAATATTATTTTGACTTGATGCTATTCAAATTCCTTCTTAGGAACTTCTAATATCGCTTCACCTATCCAAAGGGTTTAAATCAGCACATTATATATTTTGCAGTCAAGGAAAGGTGACTATAAGTCATTAGTCTTACTGAAAGCATTTTTGTGATTTAGGCTGATTAGCCTCCAGATTTAAAGATCTTAATTTTATTCCGGAGAGCAAACCTTACATATTCTGAATTATTTTGTAGAATTTTAGAATATTTATGATTTGAGTTGTCTCTTAACAGTGGTTAGGAACTTAACATAAGGTCCTAGCAAATGTTGGAAGTCCAGAGCAGCAAGGGGGTTTTTGCCTTCAAAGACTACATCTTTTGAGGAGGCAGGGTGTGTGCAGCAAAATCTAACTAGCAACACCAAGTCACTGATAAGTACCACTTGAAATGAGGGTCTTGGTACCTGCTTTTCCTCCTGAAGTGCTCTTACTGCAAATAAAGCTTCCTCAAGGTTGGTGTTTAGTTGTCACCTCCACTATAAACTTTAACCTGACTGTGTAAAGATAGCAAAATCCCTCCTTTGCATTTTTTAAGCTTCTTCCCTGCTTTATGGTCTCCATGGCATCTCTTGGCATCTGAGCTGTATCTTGTTATTCAGTCTCCTCTCAGTAGAACAAACTGAGGGCAAGGAATTTTTATTTACTACTTTATCCCCATGGCCTAGAACAGCTCCTGGCATTTGGTAAATGATCACTAGGTAGTATATAAATGAATGGATAGGGAAGAGATTTCACCAAAGGAATTGCTTAAACTTGGAACAATAGGACCTAGAATCAGTATTAGCTAGGAGAAAGAAGGCCTAAGGCATCCCAGGTAGGGGTAAAGTCATGAAGAATTTGCCTGCTGTGCCTTAAGCACCTCTTTTGTATGAGAACTTAATGCTTGTTAGAAAATCACTTTTTTAGATATTTTAGAGCTGTTTTTTTATAAGTCTTAAGTATCAAAAGCTATCACTATTTGTGTATGTTAACTGTGGTCCATTGTGTTCACACCTCCATTGTGACATCATCAAATGATCTCAGGTGAAAGACAACTCCAGCCATCTTGTAGCTTTACAGTTACGTTATCAGTACATTTATGTTGCTTTTTCCTGTGTGTTAGTATGTCTTATCAAGCTTGTTATAGTGAAGGGTCAGGAGAAGGTAAACACTGTAATGGCACGTTTTGTTAAACTTTTACGAGAATGTATAATAAAACAAAAACATTGCACTATTCAGGTTAAGAAATAGAACACAGAAGCCACCTGTGGTTCCATCCTCAATTTCATTCCACTCTTTCCCCTCAGTAATTCTTAAGTATTATCTAGGTTATATTAATCATCAGCTGTATGGTATTCCTTTTTTTTTTTTAATTAACATATAACGTATTATTTGTTTCAGGGGTACAGGTCTGCGGTTCATCAGTCTTCCACAACACACAGTGCTCACTATAATACATACCCTCCCCAGTGCCACCCCATCCCTCCACAACTCTCAGTTTGTATAGTATTCCTAGGCATAATATCTTGTTTAGTTTTGAAACACAAATCTGGCTTTATAAGGGCAATATTTACTACCACTTGATGAAGGCATCCTTGAGCTGAATAGTCTCTGAGCCTGAGTTTAGCTTCTAGAATTTACAAGAGCCCCAAGAGATCTTGTTGAGCTAGGTGATCGAGTCCTAGGGAACACAAGTGACCACAGCTGCAGCATCCTGGATCTCCTGTAGAAATATGTTTAGTGGTTATATGCTCATTTTAAATTTTCTGCTTTCTAAGGTCATCATGATCTCAAGATCAATGCAAAACCTTCTTGTGGAGTGTAAGGAGTGTCCTCCACTCATCTGGATGTCAGAATATGAAGGGAAGAACAAGCACTCCAGTGGGACAGGGTCAAACAAGCCAAGTATAGAACAGTGGGAGCCAGATCCTAGGACATACTAACCTCAGATTACAATGAATATCATGCTCATGACAGACTTCAACATGTCTGTTTTTCATTATATATCTTCAGTATGGACTAGTTGCTCTCTGGTTCTGGTTCCCAGCTGTTACCCTGGGAATTACTTTCTCTCATGTGTTGAACTGCCTATTTGCTGTATGTTTTACTCAACGTTGTCCTGAAGCAGATCCTCTAGTAATTGTTGAGACGGTGTGTGGGATGTCAACTTTCTCAAATCCTGCGTGTTGAGAAATTTACCCAACCCCCATATTTGATCAATAGTTTGGCTGGGTATGAAACTATAGGTTGTAGATTATTCTCCCTCAGAAGTTTAAAGGATTTTTCCTCATTTCCAAGTTTACTGTATGGGAATCTGAAGTCATTCTAATTCCTGATATTTTTGTCAAGTATTTTTTTTCATCTTGGTAGAATCTCTGTTTCCAGAGTTCTGAAATTTCACAATGATGTTATAGATAGATTTTTATCCATTGTGCTGTGTCTTTTCAATGGAAGCTCCTGTCCTTTCACTTCTGGAAATCGTTAAAATTTTTTATTTTCTGCCTTGGGTTTACTCCTTTTCTCCCTTGAAGTGTTACTTGGAGTAGGACCTTCTGGACCAGAGAGAGGTACTTGAATTGCTTGTGTTTTTCTTCTCCCATCTCTGCCATTTTACTCTACTTTCTGAGAAATTTCCCTAATTTTATCTTCCAATCTTCCTTGAGTTTTTCATTTCTCCTATAAGGCTTTTAATTTCTAAGAGTTTAATTTTTCTTTAAATTGCTTTTTTATTTGTTTTGGGCTTACATGCTACAGTTTTTCCACAGATCTTTGGAAATTCCTGTCTGTTGGCTCATGATTAAGACTGGAGGAAGGAGACACTGGAAATTCTGAATGGATAAGTGGCAATTTATGATTTTGAGCTTTATTGTAGAGTGGTCTGGGTAAGCTGTTTGGGAATCTTCCCAGTGTTGATATCTACAGATATATTTTGTCACGGAATGCTTAGGTTCTCAGGGAAGTTTCCATTCTGTCTTGAGAATAAGGGTCTGGCAGACAGAGTTCTCTGAGCCAAGTAGAGGAAGGGGGTTTGAGGTGTATTCTCTGCTTTCAGCATCACTCTTCATGAGAGGAATCACTAGATTAATCAGTATATTTACATACACACACATGCCATCAACTTCATTAATCAAGTTCTTATTTGCAAATTTGTCTATTTGCTAAAATTTGAAACTCTAAAATCAATACGCATGGTGTTTTCATGGTCATTCACAGACCTGCACATAGCAGTTAAAAGGTCGAGTCACCCGACATGCATGTTCTCAGCAAAGGCAGAACAGGGTGATGCTCTCTGCCTTCTTGTTTCAGCTCTCATACTGTAAACGAGTGTCCTTTTCACAATCTATGCCACATTTTTCGTGTTTTCACAATTTTTCTTGGTGATTTCACTGTTTAAAATGGCCCCTAAATGTTGTGTTGAAATGCAGGAAGGCTGTGATGTGCCTTATGGAGGAAATATGTCTGTTAGATAAGCTTCATCCAGGCATGAGTTACAGTGTTGCCCACTATGAATGTTCACTGTTACTGAATCAACAATATATATTTATGCAAGGTGTCTTTAAATAGAAAAACAAAACAAGGTTGTACATTGATAGGTTGATAAAAATAGTGTGACCAGAGACTCACAGGAGCCTAATCCTATATTCCCCCTAGAAGTATTAAGTCAGTATTTGTTCATTCAGTGCTCACAGAGCCTTTATGGAATAAACTGCTACAAATAATGAGTCAACCATAAATATGGGTATACATCTATCTGCCTACCCCTGCCTTTAGCAGTGCCTCATGCATAGGCCTCTGTCATTTTTGGAGAGTAGACTTATGCTAGAGTTGGAGAGGGCAGTCACCCAGGGGGTGTAGAGTGAGGGAGGGGATCTAGGAATCAACTTCTTTTCAGAAAACTTTCATCTTGGCCCTCCGTATTTTAGCACGCTCTTCCACATTTATCTCATCCCAGTCCCGGAGGTATATGCTGCTCTGGGGATTCCCGTGACTTTGACGGGTTTGAGATAAAAAAAATCCGTTGGTTGGTTCTCCGTACTGTCAGCTTGGTAAGTGGATTCTGATGTAGTTTTAAGTCCTCCAAGTCACTTACCATGTCTGTCAGTTGAGTCAGATTTGTTTTATTGTTGTCGTCTTTCCTCCCTGATCTTGTGGGTTCTCTTTGTCTCTATTTTCCTTTACTGTAGTTTTTTGGGGCTTTGGTGGAAAGCAGAATTTGATGGAGTGTTCTCTCTGCCATCCTTAATTCCTCTTCTTCTTTCATAACTCATGTTCCTGAGGTAAGTGAGTAAGTTGAGGCCAATATGCTCACCCCTTTACCATAGGGCCATTGAAGATGTCGATGTTGCTAATGTTTGTATATTCTGGATTGCAAAGGACTTAAGAGTTCTTTGACTTGCTGACGACTGAATGAGAAAATGTCTTCCTTTTGTCCTCTCTACCATGCCTTTATAAGGAAATGTGGGTTGGTAGGTGTGTGTACAAAGCATTCTTAACTTCCAGCTCAGAAAGTGAATGTCTAGTCAGAAGTAGAATTTTTTCCAATTTCATTATAGCCATAATCCTCTCCAGGCTTCTTATAAAATTTTTGAACTGAGATCTTTGTGATGCTTATTTTTCACTGTTAACATGCTAAACAAAACTTTTGATGGCTTCCAGATCACTTTCTTTCCCTCATTTTAAAAATTGTCTAAGATTTTTAAACCAAAGTGTAAAAATAATAGCCAATGTATAAAAATAATGGCCACTTTAATAGTCTACTAAGAGAGGGTAAAGATAGAAATAGCTAAGTTGATACTGATTGTTTTAGAATCTTTTCTATCAAAAGGTTCTTTTTTAAAATGTCATTGTTTTAATTCTTAAAACGATAATAATCTTTGTAGAAAAATTGAAAATGCAGGAAACTAATCACCTTTACTCTTAACCACCTTTACTCTTAACCACTGTGTGTATGTACACACACATACACACACACACGTACTTATCTATATAACTCCTAGTCTTTATTTGTATAAAAATGTGTCATTAACATTTTCCATGTTTTTCTCCTGCAAATTCTTTTTAATCACTACATTCTCATTCACTGGTTGGCAACCTATTTCTTAGTATGATTTTTGGCTTTGCAGGCCATATGGTCTCTGTTAACTACTCAACTCTACTGTTGTAGTGTGAAAGCAGCAATAGACGTGTAAACAAATGGGTATTATTTGCCAATGAAACTTTATTTACAAAAACATACAGCTTCAGATTTGACCTGCTGGTCACAATTTGCTCACCCCAGATATTTCTTTAAACTTCTTATTTTGACAAAATTAGTGCACAAGAATTGCAAAATAGTAGAGTTCCCACTCACCTTTTACCCAGTTTCCCCAACTTAAGTTACAGCTTAAATAGTACAATATCAAACCCAGGAAACATATACATGGGTACAATGTGTACCATTTTATTACATGTGTAACCACCACTCACCACCACAATATGGTTCTAGAACTATTCCTTTTCTCCTCCCCACCCCCGACGCCGATTTTATTTTTAAAGAATCTCTACATCCAACATAGGGCTCGAAGTTACAGCCCTGAGACCAAGAGCCCTATGCTCTATCAGCTGAGCCAGTTAGGTGTCCCCAGAACTATTCCACTACTCAAACTATTCCACCCTCATTCTACTCTGTATAGTCACAACCATCTCCCTCCCCGACCATCCCTCCCTGTTGGCAATCACTAATCTATTCTCCATCTCTAATTTTGTCATTTTGAGATTGTTCTACAAATGGAATCTTACAATACATGACCTTTTGAGATTGGGTTTTCTCAGCATTGAGATCCATCCAGGTGTTGCATGTATCAATAGTGTTCTGTTGTTGAACCAGTATGCCAGGGTTTGGATGTAACTGTATAACCATTCACCTGTTGCAAGGCATTTTGGTTGTTTTAAATGATTCTTCTAAGGTTCTAGTGATCACATATTCCATGTGACTCGGCATTCTGTCACAAACACGATAGACCTTGATCTCCATGTTTAATTCGACTGAGTAACTCGGCAGGTGCTCCCTTCTTTGTAGTCAAGCTTCAGAACTGAAAGTGGTTCAGAAAGTGGTGGTCCATTGATTTCAGGTGTTCAGTTGAATCCTATTGTATCTGTCATTCTTTTAAACTCTTTGAGCTAATTAAAACTCACTGATTTAAATCAGAGGCTATTTATCCTTCAGGGACTTCCATTTGTTTTGCAGGTTAGTACCAGCCTACCTATATTTATGCTGATGGTTGAAGACAGTTTTAATACTTGTGGAGATAGAGACCTAGGTTTGAGTCTCCATGTTACCTTTTAACTACCTGTGGTCTTTGAGAAGTCCCCTAACTTTGAACCTTTGTTTTCTTACCTGTTAAAAAAAAAAAAAAATAGTCCCAACTCTGTGAGGAGTAAATGAGATTATTGTAGGAAAAGTGTTTAGGAAACAGGAAAATACCATACAAACGTTACAGTACCATTCGTAAAAATAAAAATCATCTTCCATTAGTGGTTTAGAAAAAGCAGTTTTATTATTAAAATGAGTCCTTTTATTAACTCGTAAGTATATGCTTGCTGAAAAAAAATAATTTAAGACTCCGTTTTACAGAGTTAGAAGGCCAAAAGAACAGAGAAGAAGAGTAATATTTCTGTATGCTGTAATGGATGACCTGTGTTGCAAATACAATACCATCTGGCAGATGTGAGAAGAAATCATTTAAATCAACAATGTCTGTAATGAGCTACCATCTGATTCCTGTTAATCAGTCCTTCCTTTTTCAAACTGTCTTCTCTTGGTTACCATGACCTTGTTCTCTCCTGTTTCTCCTTCTGGCTTATCATCCTCATCCTCTTGGCCCTTAAATGCGGAGTTCCCTAGGGATCATCCTTGTATTTCTCTTTCCATGACCTCTTCCCTGGCAATATCATGCCTTTACATCACTCTCCAAACAAAGCCTCCATCTGTGTCTCTAGGCCTGACCTCCCTCATTTCCATCCTGCTGGCTGGATGACTCTCCCAAACTCAGTATTTCCAAAGCTGAGGTCATTTTTCTTGCTAAGATGGCCCTTCTTCTCAAATTTTGTTTCTGTCCACAGCCCGACCCTCTTCTCAGTCCTGCACTGTTCTCTTTGTCACCTCACTCCTTCTGCATCTAGTCATGTTGTCAATTCCTTGAGCACAGTGTCTCATTTCATCTCTTCTTTCCATTTCGGGCGTACACCTTTAGCTTTTTAACTGAAATAACATCTTCCCTCCCCACTACCGTCCATGCAGCCGTCCACAGCTCTGTTCAGATTCTTCCTACTCAGTGTCCCTGATTCTTGCCCTTGTTTGTAGAATAAAGCCCAGATTATTAGTCTACTATAACGTCATCTCCAAGATCAGCTTTTCTAATCTATATGCTCAACTCCAGATGAACTTAAAGTAATGAGGTGAAATCTTTACAGAATTCCACAATGTTTTCCTTTCCTTGTGACACTTAACTTCATTTAATGGCACACTCTCTCTCCTTTTCTCTGCTGGACCCATGTATGGTTTCTCTCAATATTTCCACAGAGTTGCATGTAGCAGATAGTTATAAAATGAAGTATTGGTCCTAGGGTAGGAACTCAGTTGGTGTTTGGCCCACACATTGAACAAGTATTTTATTGTGCACACCTTACTATGGGTCAGGTACTTTGAGACATGGGGCACATGTGGGTGCAGTCTCAGCCTCTTTTTTTTTTTAAATTGACTTTATTCTTCATTTAACTTTTAAAAACACTAGTTGAATATTAAAAACAATAGCAAGTAGTGACCTTATTGTGATTACAGTCCCTCACTCATTCACTACTGCATATAAAAAGCTAGCAGTGACTGTTATTCACTGACCTCATTAAGAAGTCGGATCAAACACCCCTCCTTAGGATGTTGCTCATCCTCCCATCCTTCTGCATTGTAATGGTGCCATCTTTCCTGATTTGGATAGAAGTTCCATTAGTTCTACCTGGTCCATTTCATCAGTATCTTTTACTCCCTTCCTCTCAGGTAGGAGTTTTTCCAGCAAAGAGCATTTATTGAGAGAGTGCCATTCTCAGGAAATTTTAAATTTGATGATTAGGTGACTCTTTTCATATGATCTGTGATAAATTGTCACACCTTCACTTAGCACACACATAGGCCTTACATCCTAGTAGGAATCTTAAAAATGTTACCATTAGATAATTTATGACTTTATACTAAAGTATTAACTTTGCATTTATGTCTAAAGCAAAGCTATTAGGCACTTAGTTTAGGAATATGTTAAAGAATTGTACTCTGGTTGCCTGAAGGACATGGAATTTACCTGTTTAGTGAAGTGAGAAGTCTATATTAGAAAAAGAAGATGGATGAGTTCATGAAGTATCTTCCTAAGAGAAGGAAGCTGGTGGGGAGGGAAAAGAGAGTGAGGCGATCAAGCTATCGAGGTCCCCTCCAGTTAGTCATTTCTTCTCAGGCAGGCAGTTCCACGAAACTAACATCATGTGCTTTTGGATCTTATACAGATGGCAATCAGGAGTTACTTCCCTGTGAAGTCTGTGGAAGACGCTTTGCAGCAGATGTTCTGGTAAACATAAAGACATTTTGTAGATGTGTTTCGTTGGAGTTAAATGAACTGTCAAGTCAGTGAGGAGGCTGCAGCGGCAAAGATTAAAGACAGATGTGGAGGGAAAGCAAGGGAAGAGAGGTCCATAACCTATGGCTGGCAGGTCCGGAGGACACCGAGGCACATAGATGCCACCCCATTCAAGAGGGAGCTTAATTAACCATGGTACTCTTAGAAAAAGGATGCCAGATGAAAGTGTTTTGGCACAGCTGATTGTCTCTTGAGAGGTTTTGGCTCTTTTGCCTTTTCTATAAGCATCAAAAATTCAAATTTTAAGGCCAAAGCACCAGGGAAATTAGCTAGTCAAGAGGAATGAACATTGAATTTGGAGCATCTGGAAACTTGGCTTTTAGCCTCAGATTTGTCACTAATTCTGACAAGTCCTTTAACCTCCCTCTGTTTCCTGCTTTGCCACGTATAAAGACAGAACCTTTCAATTTCAGGGATTTTATGTAATTTGAACAAAATGGATGTAAGGCCTGTTCCAAGATCTAATTGTTAATCAGATTCAAACTAACTGCATGTCAAGGCCCCTGATTGATGCCTATAAAGTGGAATAAAAGCTTAATTTCAAAATTAGGGAATCAAACAGGTATTAGATTCCAATATTATAAAGAGATTCCCAAGAAAAATGTAAGAAAAAAAAAAAAAACTTGAGGTGATAATGCAACTCCGAGCTTGAACATTTTAGATCAAGGAGATGTAACCAAACTTAAAGGATTTAGACCATACACCTGACTGCGTTTGGGGTGAAAGACTGTACAGTGAGGTTGTAGGTTTTCTTTCTCTGGGGAATTTTAAAAATGAAATATCTGTTCTAGTTAACTATAGCTAGAACTTCTGAACTTAGAAGCAGGACCTCCAGGGCCTATTATGGCCCAGGAATCCACCAGTGTGTTCCTTTTGCCAAGCAAGGCCTACACCCCATAAGAATGAGTTTGAGACCTAGAAGGTACCATCCATTTGGGGATCACTAAATGTCATCCCCAATGTGTTGGGTCCTCTTGGGTTTTACTTCTAGGTCTATTTCTAGGCTACAAAGAGCATTTGATCAAGTGATACGATCTCTCTCTCTAATTTAAAATGGTATGGCTTGGGGCTTCTGGGTGGCTCAGTGAGTTGAGTGTCCTGACTCTTGATTTCGGCTCAGGTCATGATCTCAGGGTCCTGGGACGGAGCCCCACATTGGGCTTAGCACTCAGTGGGGCGTCTGCTGGAGATTCTTCCTCTCCCTCTCCACCTCCCCTCCTGTCTTTCTTTTTCTCTCCCTAAAATAAATAAATAAATCTTTAAAAATAAAATAAAATGGTATGGCTTGTTTGTAACAAGGTGCAGGGATTTTTATAGAGCCCTGTATTTTGTTGGCCGAAGGAACTGTGTGTTAGCTATTATGAGTTACATATCCACCAAGGAAGAGGACATTTAGTTGCAAGTTGTTGGTGTAATCCTATAGTGGTGCTGTAACAGACTTTGTAAGGGTGGTACACAGGCAGAGCTCTCTGTGTTGATTCCGTCTTATGTACTAGAAATGCTGAGTACTTAAAGGATTACTTGGCTGGAGTAAAGAATGTTTTTCCTGCCGATCATCTGTTAAATGTTAAATATTGTAACATTGTAAAACTTAATATTGAATGCTTAGATTTGCTCTGAAATAAATGACTTCATGGATGTGAAATGTTTGGATAAATTAAAGGAAAATATCTTCATAATGTAAATGGAATTGGTGTATCCTTCATTTATTTGTATGGTTGTCCCAGTTGTCTTTTGCAGATGTTCTCAAATATTTCTTTGAAACCTCTCCACTTCTTGAGGAAGTTAAGTAGTTTAATTTGCTGTATGTAGAAAAGTGACCCCATTAAATTCAATTTTGAAATTGCTGAGTGGTAAGAAGAGTTTTCCTGAGAAGGTTCCACCGGTAGGAACTAAGTTTCCCCCTGCTGTATGCAAAGGACTGTTTCAAAAGGATGGCAAAACTGAATATTAGGATTGTTGGGACTCAGATTCTCTGGTAGGTTACTGGATGGCTTGCTCATGAAATTTGGGAATCGTGGACACAGGAAACAGAACAAAAGACATAATCAGGAGAACTTTCTTGGCTTCAGTGAGTACCTAGCTCGATATCAGAAATATTTATTTCAATTTAAACTAGAAAGTTTGCCTTTTCAACATTATTTAATGCCTGGAACCACTCACACAGCCCAAGTGGTAGAATTCAATATATAAAACCAAATTCGAAGTAAGTCTCTGTAGCTGCAGAGGCCTCTTCTTGACCTTACCCTCACGCAATATCTAGTGATGTGTAACAAGGGTGGAGAGAGCCAGATGGATTTGTTCTGCTGTGCTTTGAGAGTTGGAGAATGAACTTGGCTCTGAAGGTGAACCCTGTCACTCCAGTGGGGGCTGCCTGAGTACAAACCTTGTGACTGTACATGTTAAAAATTTTAATCCCCACTGTTTCTTTTCTAGGAAAGGCATGGACCAATATGTAGAAAACTCTTCAACAAAAAACGTAAACCTTTCAATTCCTTGAAACAAAGATTACAGGGCACTGACATTTCCATTGTGAGAAAGGCTCCTCAATCCAAGGTACTATCAATATCTTGTTTACTGTTCTTGATTACATCCTTAAGTGCATTAAAGCCTCTTTTTGGCTCTCTGGTTTCATTTTTGCTTGATAGTGCAGTGTAATGTCATGTAAGTATAATCCACCTTTACTGTTTTCTTTTTAATCATGCTCACTTAGATTTCGAAATGTATTTCAGATATTTTCCAGATGTGGCAAAAAAGAATCTCGTTTATGCTTTCATTAGTCTAGCGTTAAATCTAGCAATTAACTTGGAAGAGAATCCTTTTTAATCTTAAATTTAAGTCTTTCTTTAAAGTTTTGTAGCTCGTTTTCCTGATGGTTATTTTGTGTTTTCCCTCACTGCAGTGACTTGCAAATTTTATTACTGTATTTTCCAAACCTCTTTTTTTGTACCTTTGAAAACAAATTCTCTTTTCCCTCAAAATTTCAGTCCTTTTTCCTATAAATTTAAATCTCAGGTTAAAATAGCAAATAATCTTAAAATAAAATAAAATAAATAAAATAGCAGTGGAGAGATGTACAGTCTAGGTTAGTATATATTGGTTTTGTTTTTTATAGCCTCAACCTGTGAGGAGATCAAACTGGAGACAACAACATGAAGACTTCATTAATGCCATCCGATCGGCAAAACAGTGTACACTAGCCATTAAAGAAGGCCGACCTCTCCCACCTCCACCTCCTCCATCCATCAGTCCAGGTGTGTGGCCAGTTTGGTTTGCTTTTGGCATTTTACTCTTAACCAATTGTGCTTGATTTGGGGCCAAATCATCATGACTTGCTTCCTCCTATGCATTCTAAAATAAATAATAGCAATTAAATTATATAAAAGTAATTTTATCACAATATATCTTATCCTAATTTCTTTTTAATTCTGCATAAAGATTCTGTGTTTTCTTCTAACTCCATGAGAACACCACTGTACCCAGTGTCATGGCCATTCACATCATGGTGTATGAGAATGAGTCTGTGCAGGTTAGTTCCACAGTAGCTCCACCGTGTCAGATACCCATAGCTCTGGGTTATTTTGGGGGTGGGGGTTTTGTTTTGAGATAAAAATTCCATGATATAAAATTCACCATTTTAGCCATTTTAAGATGTGTAGTTTCATGGAAACCTAAAGGTTTCTTACCCTAAACTTTTTATTTTGAAAGTTTTCAAGTTTACAGAAAAGAGGAAGAAATAGTACAGTGATCACTCATACCTTCCACTGAAATTTGGCAGTTGTTGACGTCATATTCTCTGTCCTTTTATTTGGCAGGGGGCAGAACTATTTAAAACTGAGTTTCAAACACCATAACACTTTACCCTTAACTATGTCAGTGTGCATTTCTTAAGGGTGAGTGCATTCCCTTGCATAACATATAGACTTATATTTTCCCAGTTATCTTAAGAATGTCTTTTAAAGCTCTCTGCTTGCCCCCTAGTCACAATCTAGGATTCAGTCAGGGTTCATGCATTTTTGTTGTTGTCTCTTTTCTTTAATCTTGTGCAACACTCCTATCAGGCCAATTATCTTTTAGAATACTTCTTTTGCTAGATATGTCTGTTTTTTAACTCAGGTTAATGTTTAACTTGTTCCTCTGTCCTGTTTTTTTGTAAATTGAAATTAGGGCTAGAGACTCTATTAGATTAATAATAATAGTAATCCCTATCAGATATAAGATCTTCAAATATTTTCTCCCATTTTGTGGACTATCTTTTCACTTTCTTGATGGTATCTTTTGATGCACAAAAATTTTTAATTTTGAAGAAGTCCAGTTTATTTTATTTTTCTTTTGTTGCCTAGTGTTTGGTGTTAAATCCAAAAAATCAGTGCAAAATCCATGTCATGAAGCCTTTCCTGTATGCTTTCTTCTAAGAGTTTTATAGTTTTAGCTCTTATGGTTTTCTCTTTGATCCAGGTGGAGTTAATTCTGTATGTGGTATAAGGTAAGATCCCAACTACTTTGGAAGGTGGATATCTAGTTTTACATGTGGATATCTAGTTTTCTCAGCACTATTTGTTGAAAAGACTGTCCTTTCCCCATTGAATGATCTTGGCACCATTATCAAAAGTCAGTCGGTTGACTATATATGTGAAGGTTTATTTCTGGGCTGTCTGTTCTAGTCTATTTCCCTTATGCCAGTACCACCCTATTTTGATTACTCTAATAAATTTGTAGTAAGTTTTGAGAGTTTTCCAAGATTGTTTTGGTTATTTGGGGACCTTTGAGACCTCATATGAATTTTTAGGATGATTTTCTATTTCTGAAAATGCCATTGGAATTTTGATAGGGGTCGCATTAAATCTGTACATAGACTTGGGTAGTTTTGTCATCTTAACAATATTGTTTTCCAGTCTATGAACATAGGATGTCTTTTAATTTATTTATCTTCTCTTTAATTTCTGTCATGAATATTTCATTGAATACAAGTCTTTTACCACCTTGGTTAGATTTATTCCTAAGTATTTTACTCTTTTTGATGTTATTGTAAATGGAAATGTTAACTTTGTTTTCAGGTTGTTCATTGCTAGTATATAGAAATATGACCGGCTTTTGGTATTTTGTATCCTGCAACTTTGTTGAATTTTGTTAGCTCTAACAGTTGTTTTTTTGGTGTGGAATTTTTAGGGTTTTCTACATATAAAATTGTGTCACTTGTAAACAGACATAATTTTTCTTCTTCTCTAATTTGTCTGTCTTTTATTTCTTTTTCATGTCTAAGTCCTCTTGCTAGAATTTCCAATACTATATTGGATAGCAGTGGTGAAAGTAGACATCCTTGTCTTGTTTTCCACTGAGTAAATATTATCTGAGGGTTATTTAAAGCATAAATAATAGCATTTTATGAGGATTATGATGTGGAAGTAAAATGTATGAAGACAATACAAGTTTAAGGAAATGGACATACATTGTTGAAAGGTTTTGTCTACATGAATAGGTTTAGTACTCATTAAACATGAATAGGTATAGTATTATTTGAAGGTAGATTTGTATATCTTAACGATCCCTATTTTATTTTTTTAAGATTTTTATTTATTTATGTGGCAGAGAGAGAGTGTGAACATGAGCATGAGCAGGGGGAGTGGCAGGCAGAGAGAGAAGCAGGCTCCCCACGGAGCAGGGAGCCCGATGCGGGGCTTGATCCCAGGACCTTGGGATCATGACCTGAGCTGAAGGCAGACGCTTAACCGACTGAGCCACCCAGGTGCCCCATCAAAGATGCCTATTTTATTTTTATTTATTTATTTTTAAAGATTTTATTTATTTATTTGACAGAGAGAGACACAGCGAGAGAGGGAACACAAGCAGGGGGAGTGGGAGAGGGAGAAGCAGGCTTCCCGCGGAGCAGGGAGCCCGATGTGGGGCCCGATCCCAGGACCCTGGGATCATGATCTGAGCCGAAGGCAGACGCTCAACGACTGAGCCACCCAGGTGGCCCTAAAGATGCCTATTTTAAATTCCAGAGTAAACACACAAAACTATTGACATGTAGCTAATAACACAGTAAGTGGAGTAGAGCTAAAATGAAAAAAAAAAATTCAGTCTAAGAGAAGATAGGAAAAGAGGGGGAAAAAAACAAAGGAAAGGTGGGATAAAGACAAAGCAAGATGGTAAACTTAAACCTAACCATATGGACAGTTGCATATAAATGACCTAAACCCTTCAGATAAAAGGCAGATTATCATACTAAATAATAAAGGAAGGTCCAATTATATACTTTCCCCAAGAAACACACTTTAAATATGAAGACACAAATAAGTGTGCCAGTCAGGTGACAAAACAAGGAGGCAAGGCAGGTAGGCCTAAAGCAGTGACACCCTCATTAAGGGACAGGTGTTTCTGCACTAGCAGGGCTCCTGCCTCAAAGGAACACACTGCCGGATCTAATTTCTCAAAGGATGGCAAAAACTGCAGATTTCCTGATTTCTAACTATCAGAAACAGTTTTTTAGAAACTTCGGGTTTGAATCTCTGAGGTTGGAAGTCAGGCAGTGGGTTTCCTTGGAGGGGTGGGGATGACCAGGAGTGGACATGAGAAGCATTGCTAGGAATGTTCTGTGTCTTGATCTGGGCTGGTTACATGGGTGTGTGCAACTTATAAATTATATTTCATGGAGACCTACATTTAGGATTTGTGCCTTTTCTCTTGGATAAAAAGGTAAAAGAAATAAACACCAGCAGTGTCAAAACAACTGTAGACTGGCATGTGAAAAGCATGGGGAAGGATATGTATGCAAACAGTCATAAAACTAGAGTGACTAATATTAGTATCAGTCAAAGCAAACATCAGTGTTATTAACAAGGGTAATGATTAAAAATACATTCATCAGGAAGGCTTATCAGTCCCTAAATGTTTATGTACCTAGTAACAGCTTTAAAGAACATGAAACAAAAACTGGGAGGAGAAGTAGAAAGATTCACAATTATATTTGGAGATTTTATCATTCCTTTCTTAGTAGCTGATAAAATAAGCAGCAGGAAAATCACTAGGGATATAGAAAATTTGAACAACAGTATCAACCAGTTTGACCCAGTTGATATCTATTGCTATAATGTGACATGCAGCAACAGCAGAATATAATTCTTTTTATTTTATTTTATTTTTTTTTTAAGATTTTATTTGTTTATTTGACAGACAGAGAGATAGCGAGAGCAGGAACACAAGCAGGGGGAGTGGGAGAGGGAGAAGCCGAGCAGGGAGCCCGATGCAGGGCTCGATCCCAGGGCCCTGGGATCATGACCTGAGCCGAAGGCAGACACTTAATGACTGAGCCACCCAGGCGCCCCAATATAATTCTTTTTAATTACACATGGAGCATTCATCCAAGATAGACCATGTGCAAGACCACAAAGTGAGTCTCAATAAATCATTGAAATCATACAGATTATGTTATTTGACACAGTAGAATTAAGTTAGAAGTTAATGATGAAAACATCTAGAAAATTTCCTAATATTTGGAAATTATCAACTCATTTCTAAATGCATGGATTTAAGAAGAAATCATAAAAGAAATTAGTAATTATTTTGAACTGAGTGGCAATGAAAAACACATCAAAATTTGTGGGATTCAGCTAAAACTGTGTCTAGAGGGAGTTTTATAGCTTTAAATTCTCAAATTAGAAAAGAAGAAAGGTTTAAACCAATTATTCTTCCTCTTTAAAAAGTTAGAAGAACAAATTATACCTAAATTAAGTAGAAGGAAGAAAATAGTAAATGTAGTTCACCATATTAACAAAATATTTTTAAAAGCAGATGATCATCCCAGTAGATACAGGAAAAGCCTGTGACAAAATACAGCACCCATACATGTTTAAAAAAGAAAACTCTTAGGTAGAAAAAGACGGGAACACCTCAATAAAGGACATCTTTGAACAATCTATAGCCAACATTACACTTGATGAAAACCTGAGCACTTTTCCACTGAGATCATGAAAAAGCAAGGATGTCCTTTCTGACCACTTCTGTTCAACTCTGTACTGGAGATAAAGTACCCAGTGTAATAAGGAAATAAATTATCAGAGAGGAAGAAGTAAAACTGTCTTTATTCACAGATAACATAAAATCATGAATAAGTATAGAAAATCTTAGTAAACTGTAAGAAAGCTACTGGAATTAAAAGTTCATTTAACATACTTTCAGGATATAAAGTCAAGGGGCGCCTGGATGGCTCAGTCGATTAAGCGTCCGACTCTTGATTTTGTCTCAGGTCATG